TGCAGCAAGTCCTCAAATGCCCTCTCCAGACACGTGTCACAATTCACGGCAAACGAGCCACCCTATTTGTTACCTCAATCAGCCAGTGGGTGCTTGGGACCAATTCTACTCCGGGTCCCCACAGGGGGTGCAAAGTTTGAAAAAGATCCATCAAATGAGTTTTGAGTTTAACAAGAAAGCATCCTAAGCGGCAGTTTAATCATATGGATTCCCCAGAATACAATAAAGAAGAGAGATCTATAAAGTATATTGCTCAAGAATTGTGAGAGAAATTGTTAGTTGAAGGAAAAAATAAAGAATAAAAATTTTGATCATATTTTACCCAGAATTGTTTTCACCAACAGTATTTTTAATTGCGTGAATAATTATATATATATTAGCCAACTATAAGTAACAGCTGTAATATATAGTATATGGACAAAAGTATTGGGATACACCTTTTAAGCAACTAGCCATGCAGTAAGGTTTACAAACATTTGTGAAAGAATGGGTTGTTCTCAAGAGCTCAGCGAATTCAAATGTGATACTGTCATAGGATGCCACCTTTGCACTAAGTCAGTTCTTGAAATTTCTTCCTTCTTACATATTCTATGGTCAACTGTAAGTGATATTACTGCAAAGTGAAAGCGTTTAGGATAATGGTTGTTTATCAGAGGTTGGTCTAGACCCTTTAGATTCAGTTTTAAAGCTTCAGTATAACAAGACATTTTGGACAATTTGGACACTTTGTGGGAACAGTTTGGGGAAGGCCCTTTTCTGTTTCAGCGTGACCGCCTAAATGCAAATCACAAGGTCCATATAGACATGCTTGGATGAGAATGGTGTGGAATAACTTGAATGGCCCACACAGAGCCCTGACCTCAACACCATCAAACACCTTTGGGATGAACTAGAACAGAGATTGTGAGCCAGACCTTCATGTTCAACATCAGAACCTGACCTCACAAATGCTCATCCAGGTCAATGGGCAAAAATTCCCTCAGAGACACTCCAAATTCTTGTGGAAAACCTTGTCAGAAGCGTGGCAGCTGTTATGGCTGCAAAGGGGGGACCAAACCCATATTGATGCATATGGACTTCATATGTCGATGTTCCTGTTATGTGTAATGGCCAGGTGTCCCAATACTTTTGCCCATATTAGGTATTAAAATACTCAAGTAAAGTACAAATTCAAGAAAAAACTGCTTAAGTACTAGGGGTGTAACAATGCACCAGGGGATTCAACGGCAAATGATCCGATGCATCGACGTGACCGCATAAATGTCGGTGCAAGCGTTTTTTTTTTCTCGCCGGTTCCAGTATTGTTTTCATTATCCACTCCGACATATACATGGTCTACACCAGGGGTGCCCAATACGTCGATCGCAATCTACTATTTTATTATAATTTTATTATTTTATTGTAATATTTTTAACAATATATCCTATCACTTATATGCTGGTGATCTACAGTTATTTACAGTTATTCAGTTAGCACATTTTTCTTTTAAACCTGAAAATATTGCCAAATTATTGACATTAACTGACTGTTTCAAAGCCAAGCTTGGTCTGCAAATAATTTTTTTAAATTAAATGCTGAATGCCTTGATTGTTGCTCCTGAAAAAAGTCTTTAAAATTAGGGAAAATATTGGGCCTCAGTTCAGTCCGCTTTATGCAATGGGGTGATATTTGATCATTCAAATCTCATGTCATACTGTTAACCAGGTCATGTTACTTCCATCTTAAAAATGTTAAGTCAAGGTTTGTTGTGTCTGTTATGAGGCTGAGATGGAGATGCTTATTCATGCATTGATTTCATCTCAACTGGATTTTTTAAATGTACCTTTCACCTGCCTTAGTAAGTCATCCATCGATTGGTTAGTCTGTTCAAATGCTGCTGCTACATTTTGAACAAAGCCAAATAAATCATGTACAGGTTTCAATTACTGTTACACGATTGTCTTGCCTCTCGTCCTTAACCCTCGTGTTAATCACTCCCAGCTGCCTCTTGTTAGCTCCCTCGCTAGTCCAGTATTTACATGCTTCCCAGTCTTGTGTTCCCCCATCTGGCCATTGACATTGTATCTGGCTGTTGCCTACGGCATCCTACGGCGGCCCATTACACATCAAACTGCATTTTCCCTGCCACTGTTCCATGGCCCACTTAGAGTCCCACTGATAGAGAAACTCTATTTTAGACAATAATATAATGTGAGTCTTTTGTCAAACTGATTTTAAAAATTAGAGAAAATTGATATGTAATGGGGGGTGGCACAGAGGTGCAGTGGTTAGCACTGTCACCTCACACCTCTGCAACCAGGGTTCAAGTCTCCATGCAGATTCCATTTGTGGAGTTTGCGTGTTCTCCTCATGTCATTGTGGGGTTTCCTCCAGGTATTCCAGTTACCTCCCCACAGTCCACAAACATGCAGAGGCTAACTGGAGTTGCTAAATTGCCCATATGTGTATGTGAATGATGTGTGAGTGTGCCCCACAATGGGTTGGCACCCCATCCTGGGTTGTTCTCCACCTTGCACCCATAGCCTCCCCCCACAACCCTGAATAGGACAAGCAGTTTCAGAAAAGGGATGGATGAATGACATGTTACAGTAATGCGTTTCTGAGAATGACCCATATTATGTTCTATCCATATACTTCAGCTTTTGTCTTCTTCATTCAGAATAATTTTGTAAATAAGCCAATACATTAACCTCACATACTGTAGGTGTGGACCTGGCTATCACACAGGCAGAAGGTGCTTCCATCACTGAAAAGCACCTTTTCCCACATTTCACATGTCCAGCTTGAGTGCTTCCACGCCTTTGTACGTCAGTCATCAGTGGCTTGTTGTGTGCCTTGCAGCCCTGCAGACTAAACTGCCAGAGCTGGGGAGTCGAGTTTGCAACTCGGACTCCAGTCGCTCTTAAATTGACTTCCAACTCGACTTGCAACCTATTATTTTTTTACTCAGACTTGACTCCAACTCATTGATAGCGACTCGTGAACAATAAGAGTCTTTAAGGCTCTGTTGGAATTTCTACACATGCAAAGCATTGAGTGTACAGCTCACGATGTGCAGCTGTGCACAGAACATAGGAACTGGAGCCGGAGAAGCGTGGCACAGGTAGTATCAACAAACAACACGTTTTTTGTTTTGCCACTACTTGAAATTGCAGACCTGATATGACAAACAGTGGGAGTTTCTGAGTGTTATTTTACATTAGACTGCACCACTTAGGAAAAGACGTTGCTTAAACTATATAAATTATATATAACCTACATCATGTTGTTATACAGTAACACAGATTGGCATAGATTCGGATAAATCTGATCATTTAGCAAGTACATCCTAAAAATAATTTAGCAGGTGCACTATATTGCCTTTGTTATATTAATTCATTAGCCAATCACATCACTTTAATGTAGCTGAAGTTTGTTTGTGCTGCCACATATACAGGAAGCTTCTTTTTTTGTTAATCATATCGTGAATGGTTTCAGGTGTGTGTGTGTGTGTACATAGCTGATTCTTGTTGCCAGGTTTAGACCCTCTTTAGGCTATGTTTGTAACCGTTCACAATAATTAAAGTTTACTTGTTCTGCTCAAAAGATGTCTTTATCATAATGCTATTTTTGAGAAAGAATTAGTTTTAAAATGTATATTACAAAAGTTCTTACTTTGATTAGGTTCTTACAAAAATTTTATTTAAAAAAATATATTTATTCAAAGCACTTGAAATAGCTATTACTTTGAAAATGTATATAAGCCTAAGGGACTATGAGACAAGCAATTTTTGAAATGTTCAAGTGGTGATTCCTATTTAGTCACATCAGTTACTAATAGAAAAAAACAAATAGGTAGTAAAATGTTTGGTAAATAATAATGTCAAATTGGAACCATGTTGGTGACTTGAGACTTGACTCCGACTATAAGTCAGACTTGAGACTTGACTCTAATTTTGTGACTTATGAACAAATCTGTAAAATGCAGGCACATGACAGTTGTTTGACCAGTCATTAATGTTGCAGTAGCTGAGGTGAGGTTAACTTGCGATTGCTCAATAAAACGCATCAAAGTACATGGTCCTAATGTGATGTTGATGCACGTGGACAACCAGACCGAGGCTTGCCTACCACTGAACCTGTTGTTTTCTTCTTTTGTACAATCTTTACAGTCGCACTGTGACTGCAGCCGGTTTTGCAATCTTTTGGCATGAAAATCCTTCCTCGCTCATCACTGACACACGAACATGATCCACCACCGTCAGACTCCAAGTCTTATTCATGGTCAATGCAGAAGCTGTATGAAACCAAACAAAATTGTAAAATTAGAAACAAGTGATCTTAATGAAGTAGATTCTAATAGCTAAATATATCCCTTATAATGTGTTACACAGACAAATCTACTGGGTGAATGAAGAAATTAAAGTAAACGGTCAGAAATTTGAAAACTGATTCCACACTTTTGCCCACCATTGTAAAGGTTATATTTTACAAAGTAAAATTTAAATTTTACAAAGTTATTTGTAAGACCCTCTTGTTACCTCCATAGCATGGCCCTAATGAGATACTTCTGTTGATTATTTGTCTTACATCTTGTTCCTGCCCTTGTGTTTTTCCTGTCCTGTGTTCTCCAGTCCTGTCATTAATGTTGCCACTCCTGTTAGCTCATGTGTTCCTCCCAGTTTGTGATCCCCCCACGATCCTGTTGCTTTCTAGCCTGTTCCCTATTGTAATAAAACCCATTTTATTTGCCCCGTCTCCTGCTCCCTCGTCCTTCGTCACATCTTATGTAACATTTTGTGTTTTATTATTATTATTATTATTATTATTATTATTATTATTAGGAGTAGTAGTAGTAGTAGCAGTAATAGAAGTAATAGTAGTAGTAGTAGTAGTATTAGTAGTAATGTTGTTGTTGCTGTAAAACGACACAATTTAAGCACATCTATAGAGATCAAAGTAGTTTTGGACAATGAATTCAATTAAATAAATAATAAATATGTTAATTTGTTTTGTTTTAGGAAAAGAAAACCATGGAAAACGTTACCGCATCCTTCGATTATGACTACAGTGAAACTGCTGTTTTGGATAAATTACAGACAGAAGCACAAGAAATTAATAATTTAATGTACATGTACACAGGGATGTACGGCATCACCATTCTCTTGGGAGTACCGTTAAATATCCTGGTCATCATCACTCTTTTCCGTAGAATTGGGAATTATGAAGCTGCCATCTGGCTCTTGGGCATGGCCATCTCAGACCTGATCTTCTGCCTGTTCCTGCCGTTTCACATTGTCTCTGCATGGGACAACTTCACCTGGAGGTTTGGGTGGATACTGTGCAAGCTGAATTCATTTGTGCCATTCATGTCCATGTATTTGACGGCCTTCATTCTTAGCTTCATGAGCCTGGAGCAGCTGTTCTTCAACAAATTTTCATGTACTAGCTGCAGGTTTAATGGGTCAAAACTCATGTTACTGATGTCTTGGTTTGCTGCAGCTGTCCTGAGCTGTTACACTTCAGCCTTACTGCACACTGCAGCTGTCCTGAGCTGTCCATCCCTGCTGTACAGGGTAATTCAGTACAGGAAGAATGGGGAGGTGTGCATGGACAATTATGAGAACATATCCACTGAGCAGGTAGCCTCACAGAGAAAAAGCGCTGTTCTGTACATGCGATTCATCTTTGGAATCATACTTCCTGTAGCTTCAGCAACCATCTGTTATTGCTTATTGGTCTTGAGGAAGAACAGTTTCCAATTGAAGTCGTCAATGAAGTATCGCATCAGAAAGGCCCTGGTCATTGGCCACTGCTTGTGCTGGCTGCCTTGTCTATTTCTGCCACTCTGGCAGTACCACTCAACTACAGATATTTCTGCCATTTTTGCAATTATCGTACCTGTTAGCAATGCACTTGCAGCCATGAGCGGATGTATCAAGCCCATCATCTACATCATTATCAGTGACAGCCTTTGCCTTCCCTGGATGAAGGATGATTATGCCAGAACTGGAACGGAGCTAACAGAGATAGGTGATAAAAATGATCCATAATTCAATATAGAAACATTTGGACACTGTGAGGGTAAGTATTACAATCTCTTAACCTTTTTTAAAAAATACATTATTGATATGTGGATTATGGACCTGCTGTTGTGGATGGTAAATTGGTAGTTCTATTAAGACTTAAATAGTAAGCAAAAACAATAAAATGGTTTCTTTATAACTATTAGTTATAGCAAGGGTAAATGTTCAATAAAAATAAAAAATAAAATAAATTAAAATATTACTTACTAATAGACCAATGGAAATACTTGATGTAATAATTAAAATATTGAAATCCATTTCAAGGGTGTCATGGTGGCACAGTGGTTAGCACTGTTGCTTCACATCTCTGTTTGTTCCCCCTATATCATAAGAACATAAGAACATAAGAAATTTACAAACGAGAGGAGGCCATTCGGCCCATCAAGCTCGTTTGGGGAGAACTTAGCTAATAGCTCAGAGTTGTTAAAATCTTATCTAGCTCTGATTTATAGGAACCCATGGTTTTAGCTTCCACTACAATAGCAGGAAGACTATTCCATACTCTGACTACACGCTGTGTAAAGAAGTGCTTCCTCAAATTTGTTTTAAAATGTTCTCCCGCTAATTTCCACTTATGGCCACGAGTTCTAGTATTTAGACTAATATTGAAATAGTCATTTGGCTGAACAGCATCCAGACCCGTTAGAATCTTATAGACCTGAATCATATCCCCCCTTAGACTCCTTTGCTCAAGGCTGAACAGATTCAGTTCCGCTAACCTCTCCTCGTAAGACATTCCTCTAAGACCAGGAATCATTCTCGTAGCTCTTCGTTGCACCTTTTCTAAGGCAGCAATGTCCTTCTTGAGGTATGGTGACCAAACCTGAGGTTGTGGGGTTCCCTCTGGGTACCCTGGTTTACACCCACATTCCAAGGTAATTGTAGTTGCTAAATTACCCATAGGTGTGCTTATGTGTATGAATGGTGTGTGAGTGTGCCGTGCAATAGGTTGGTGCCCCATCCTGGGTTGTTCCCTGCCTTGTGCCCGTAGACTCCAGAATAGGCTCTGGCCCTCCCACAGTCTAAGTAGGATAAGCAGAAGATGGATGGATGGACATCAATTTCACACAAAGCAAACCAGTGAAGAAACTAATATGATATTGATAAGAGATAAACATAGTCTCTGCTGAAACTCGATTCACCAATTCAAAGACAATGTCTTCCCTGCCACTAGGCCAACAGGATGGAACTAAGAATTCAACTGAAGTGAGATGCCTGAGCTGATCAGCTGTACAACTGAAGTAACAAAGATACACTATATTGGCAAAAGTATTGGGACACCTACCTTTACGCACACATGAACTTTATCCATCCATCCATTTTCTACAGCTTTTCCGGGTCAGGTCACGGGGGCAGCAGTCTATGCAGGAAAACTCAGACTTTCCTCTCCCCAGCCACTTCGTCCAGCTCCTCCAGAGGAATCCTGAGACGTTTCCAAGCCACCCAAGAGACATACCGGTAGTCTCTCCAGCGTGGTCTTCCCGGGGCCTCCTCCCAGTGGGACATGCCCAGAACACCTCACCAGGGAGGCGTCCAGGAGGCATCCTGACCAGATGCCCGAGCCACCTCATCTGATTCCTCTCGATGCGGAGGAGCAGCGGCTCTACTCTGAGCCCCTCCCGATTGACTGAGCTCCTCACCCTATCTGTAAGGGAGAGCCCAGCCACCCTGCGAAGGAAACCCTTTTCGGCCGCTTGTATTCGTGACCTCGTTCTTTCGGTCACTGCCCACAGTTCATGACCATAGGTGAGGGTAGGAATGTAGATCGACTGGTAAATTGAGAGCTTTGCCTTTTGGCTCAGCTCCTTTTCCGGCTGAGGACCATGGTTTCGTATTTGGAGGTGCTGATTTTCATCCCAGCCGCTTCACACTCGGCTGTGAACTGCTCCAATGAGAGCCAAAGGTTACAGTCCGATGAAGCCAACAGAACCACATCATCTGCAAAAAGCAGAGACATAATCCTGAAGTCAACAAACCGGACACCCTCAATGCCCTGGCTGTGCCTAGAAATTCTGTCCATAAAAGTTATGAACAGAATCGGTGATGAAGGGCAGCCCTTGCGGAGTCCAACCCTCACTGGAGTCCGACTTACTGCAGACAATGCAGACCAAGCTCTGACACCGGTCGTACAGGGACCGAACAGCCCTTATAAGGAAGCCTGGCACCCCATCCTCCCAGAGCACTCCCCACAGGACTCCTTGAGGGAAACGGTCGAATGCCTTCTCCAAGTCCACAAAACACATGTAGACTGGTTGGGAAAACTCCCACGCACCCTCCAGGATCCTGCTGAGAGTATAGAGCTGGTCCACTGTTCCACAGCCAGGGCGAAAACTGCACTGCTCCTCTTGAATCTGAGGTTTTATAATCCAGAGGACCCTCCTCTCCAGGACCCCAGAATAGACCTTACCAGGGAGGCTGAGGAGTGTGATCCCCCTATAGTTGGAACACATCCTCTGGTCCCCCTTCCTGAAGAGTGGGACCACCACCCCGGTCTGCCAATTCAGGGGCACTGACCCCAATGTCCACGCGATGCTGCAGATGTGTGTCAACCAGGACAGCCCAGCAATATTCAGAGCCTTGAGGAAATCTGGGCGGATCTCATCCACCTCTGGGGCCTGGCCACCAAGGAGCTTCTTAACCATCTCAGCGACCTCCACCCCAGAGATAGGGGAGTCCACCCCCATATCCCCAGACTCTGTTTCCTCATTGGAAGGCATCAGTGGGATTGAGGAGGTCTTTGAAGTATTCCTTCCACCTTCCCACAATGTCCCGAGCTGAGGTCAGCAGCACCCCGTCCCCACTATAAACAGTGTTGCACTGCTTTTACGTGCTGAGCCGCCAGATGGTGGACCAGATTCTCCTCAAAGACTTCCCGGAAGTCGTTCTCCATGGCCTCTCCAAACTCCTCCCACACCTGAGTGTTTGCCTCAGTGACCGCCGAAGCCATGTTCTGCTTAGCCTGCTGGTACTCATCAGCTGCCTCTGGAGTCCCACAGGCCAAAGGCCCAATAGGACACCTCCTTCAGCTTGATGGCATCCCTCATCGCCAGTGTCCACCAGCGGGTTCAGGGATTGCCGCCACAACAGGCACTGACTACAGCTCTGATCAGCTGCCTCCACAATGGAGGCACGGAACAAGGCTCATTCGGACTCAATGTCCCCCGCCTCCCCCAGGACATGGGTGTAGTTCTGCCGGAGGTAGGAGCTGAAGCTCCTTCTGACAGGTGGATTCCACCAGACATTCCCAGCAGACCCTCACTATACGCTTGGACTTGCCAGGCCTGACCCGCTTCCTCTTCCACCAGCGGAGCCAACCCACCTCCAGGTGGTGATCAGTTGACAGCTTCACCCCTCTCCTCACCTACAGTAAGTGTGCAATACATGCGGCCGCAAGTCCGATGACATGACCACAAAGTCAATCATTGAACTGCGGCCTAGGGTGTCCTGCTGCCAAGTGCACATATGGACACCCTTATGTTTGAACATGGTGTTCATCATGGACAATCCGTGACGAGCACAGAAGTCCAAGAACAAAACACCACTCGGGTTCAGATCGAGGGGGCTGTTCCTCCCAATCACGCCCCTCCTGGTCTCACTGTCATTGCCCACATAAGCATTTAAGTCCTCCAGCAGCACAAGAAGAAGAAGCACTATCCAACACCCCTTCCAAGGACTCCAATAAGGGTGGGTATTCTGAACTGCCATTTGGTGCACAAGCGCAAATAGCAGTCAGGACCCATCCCCCCACCTGAAGGTGAAGGGAGGCTACCCTCTTGTCAATCGCGGTAAACCCAAATGTACAGGTGCCCAGCCAGGGGGCAATAAGTATGCCCACCCCTGCTTGGCGCCTCTCCCTGCGAGCAACTCCAGAGTGGAAAAGGGTCCAACCCCCCTCAAGGAGAATGGTTCCAGAGTCCAAGCCGTGCATCGAAGTGAGCCGGACTATATCTAGTCAGAATCTCACACCCTTGCGCACCAGGTCAGGATCCTTCCCTGCCAGAGAGGTGACATTCCATGTCCCTAGAGCTACCTTCTGCAGCTCAGGATCGGATCACCAAGGTCCCCGCCTTTGGCCACTGCTAACTCTCACTGTACCCGACCCCTTTGGCCCCTCCTACAGGTGGTGAGCCCATTGGAGGGGGGACCCACGTGCCTTCTTCGGGCTGTGCCTGACCAGGCCCCATGGGTGCAGGCCAGGCCACCAGGTGCTCGCCATTAAGCCCCACCCCCTAGGCCTGGCTCCAGGGGGGGCCCTGTGCAGGCCTGAAGACTGCAGCATTAAGAGTTCCTTTCACTGGAACTAAGGACGTTTTTCCACCGCACCAGGTACCATACTTTCGGTACTTCCATAAAGTGCCGAAAGTTTGGTACTTCTTTCATGTCGATTTTCCACTGGCGTAATAAATGGTACCGGCGCCAAATGACATCATCAGTGACCGCCACTGACTGACAGCCCAAAATTAAAACTAACAATTGAGGCTGGAAAATGCGGTTTATTGTTATGTCAGCTTCTATCACAGTATAAGATTCAGTAAAATCCAAATCATGCTGCCATCAATTACGTTTACGTAGGTACACTCACTTTGGCTAAGCCGATCAAAGCAGTAAGAATTAGCTTACTGCTAATTCAGTCTTTTGAAAGCAAACAAATTATTTAATTATGTTTTTTGATTTTCAAGCGGCATTGTTCAGTGTTTTGCGTGTGCCCCATTTCTTCCAGGTGGCTTGGTATTACGGTGTTCCAGGCAATTCAGTTTCCCTATGTTTCCCCTAATATTAAAGCAAAGAGGTATGTGAAATGTCTGAAAATCACTCAGGTACATTATTACATGTGAATACAGTAGATAGTCACGCACAATATAGTCTTATAAGCAATACTATACCGTTTTCATCAAGAAATATCTCTATCCAGCAAATTAAGTAATTTCATTTATTATCTGTAAAAACAAAAAAAGGCATGTGATGTTTTAAAATTAATATATGGCTTGTTTACCTCAAGAGCTTCGTAAAAAGACATGAAAACAAGAGCGAAACCATGTACAAATCAGTGCGCGATAGGGGAGAGATAGGGAAACTGAATTGTCCAGAACGGCAAAAACTTTTTTATTTCGAGTCGTGCCATCCAAATCCCACTGGAAATCGACAGCAAATACGTTTGCAAGTCCCACCCCAAAGTACCAAAGTACCAAAGAAGTACCCCAACTGGTTTGGAACTTTCGGTACTCGAGATTTCGGTACTGGTACTCGACCAGAAGTCAATGGAAAAGCGAAAGTACCGTACCGAAAGTACCGTACTTTGTGCGGTGGAAAAGTGCCCTAAGGGGCCAAACTCAACCCCTGAAAAACAACTCCACAACATAATCCCCCCTCCACCAAACTTTATACTTGGCACAGTGCAGTCAGGCAAGTACCATTCTCCTGGCAACCACCAAACCCAGACTCATCCATCGGATTGCCAGACAGAGAAGCGTGACTCGTCACTCCAGAGAACACATCTCCACATCTCCACTGCCCTAGTGTCCAGTGGCAGCGTACTTTACACTACTGTATCCAACGCTTTGCATTGCACTTGGTGATGTAAGGCTTGGATGCAGCTGCTTGGTCATGGAAACCCATTCCATGAAGTACGCACTGTTCTTGAGCTAATCTGAAGGCCACATGAAGTTTGGAGGTCTGTAGCTATTGACTCTGCAGACAGTTGGCGACTTCTGCACACTGTGCGCCTCAGTATGCATTGTCTCAGCTGTGATTTTACGTGGCCTACCACTTTGTGGCTGAGTTGCTGTTGTTCCCCATTGTTTCCACTTTGTTATAAAACCACTATCAGTTTACCGTGGATTATTTAGTAGCGAGGACATTTCATGAATGGACTTATTGCACAGGTGGCATCCTATCATGGTACCATGCTTGAATTCACTGAGCTCCCGAGATAATACATTCTTTTGCAAATGTCTGTAGAAGCAGTCTGCATGCCTAGGCGCTTGATTTTATACACCTGTGCCATGGAAGTGATTGTAGCACCTGAAGTCAATGATTTGGAGGGGTGTCCCAATACTTTTGATAATATAGTGTAATTAGCAAATTACTCAGGGGAACCATAAGAACAGTCAGCTTTTGATTGGTCAACAGGAGCATGGTATTTACTACTGTTAGAATGAAGGAAGGGCAAATATTTATATAAACTCTTTGTTTATTCAACAGATGTCCAGGTTGTTTCTTAAAAAGGATTGTGTGAGTGTAAATAAGTCAAGACTTTCTTCTCACAAAATCCATCATGCTATGAGGGAAAATCAGCCACCTTACAATATTTACAGTAAATTAAAGAGTACTCACTGAAGCATCAAGAGGGATGATTTAAACTAGTTAAGTTTAAAATAAAACAATAACAAAAAAAAACAAAGATTAAAAGTAGATTGCCACATGATGCATTAATAAACTGAATTATTACTAATTATTTAGAATTAGGTGACCAGTGGTCATTGTGGACACACCACAGCGCACAACAAAATGTGTCCTCTACACTTAACCCATATGTGAACTCGTGACATAGCAGGGGGCAGCTAATTCAGCACCTGGTGAGCAGTGCTTGGGGGCGGTACCTTGCTTAGGGTACCTCAGTGGTGCCTTGCTGGTCAGGGATTTAAACCAGCAATCTTTCAAATACAAGGGCGCTTCCCTAACCATTAAGACACCACTGCCCACAAGGCATATACTGTATTACCCTTTCAAATAAGTGGCAGATTGTGAAGATGTAAATTGTAATAATTTATAAATTTATACATTTCTAATTTATTTTTTCAGGGAAAGCAGGCAAAGCATTTCCTACAGTATGGAGGAGTTTGACTTGGAAAACTATTCCAATGACTATGAAAATTACACCTTTGAAAACACAACATTGTTTTTACTCAACACAGATCCTGCAGGAATGACCTTTCCTGCATAATTGTCACCCTTCATCGGCTTACTGGGGATTTTTGGGAATGGTGTTGTCATCTGGATTGGAATGGTGTTGTCAAAATGGCCAAGACCATCAACACAACCTGGTATCTCAGCCTAGCAATCTCTGACTTCCTATTCTGCCTTTTCCTCCCTGAGGCAAGAAGTTAAGGACTATTTACAGGGGGCAATCATACTCCATGCTGATGCGGCGACGCCTCTCAAGATGTGGTTTCACTGCATCAAAGGCACCAAAGGCAAAGACAGACTTAGTCCACTCAAATTCAAAATGCATTTTCCACATGCAAGTTGTCACGACACAGGGCGGAAGCAAGCGACGGGAACTCCAGGAATAGGGGAAAACGGGGTTTAATTGCACGAAAGGCAGGCAAAGACAAATTGATAATACAACATCAATGACCGGACTGGGGAAACAAACGGAAACGCGGACTAAATACAATGAACTAATGACAACAATCAGAAACAGCCATAAAACACTGGGAATCCACATGAGGTTAACGAGGGGGCGTGGCACACGAGAGGAGCGGATGATCGGGGCATGACACAAGTCAGAATAGGCCATGGAATAAAATGACTACAAAATCTAGTGCAGGGGTCAGCAACCTAACTTTCTGAATTAAATAACAAATAAACTGGAGCTGTAGTATTTCACTGGAAATAGAATTTTTTTTATAACCAGTAGGGTGAGCAATTACATCCCATCCAGAGGAGAGAGTCTGCAGCTTCAGGTTCCATGGGGTGACCCTTAGTGCCAGAGCCTCAAGTCAGCTGTGCATGCAGCAGCCGTCACTAAAAAGGCACACCAACGACTGCACTTCCTCAGGCATATAAAGAAAGCTGGGATGTAATTGCTCAGAAATGCATTGAGACCCATAGAAAATGGAGTGTTGGTGCCAAGTTTAGGAGGTGGTTATGAGAAAATGCTACAGTAAAAATTCACCAAAATAAGTCTGCTTACACTCTGTTATACCTACTATAAGATGGTAATGGCAGATTTTTGGGACGTTTTGAAATGAAAGAGCAGGGGCCTGTAAAATTAGCTGAAAAAAAGAAGCATTTAAGGTGGACCGGAAAAATCAGAATAAGTAGCTGCGAATAAGTAGCCAACTTCAGCCTCGTGACTTTCACTATAATTAACGGAATCACTGCTATCGGTTGGCTCACTGGAATCTTTTTCTGTTTGTGCGACTTTAACAAGGAACCCATCCAATGACAGCCTCTTTTGCCTCCTTTTCGATTTCGCAAAAATGGGGACATTGCATTGTCGTTAAACAGATTCATCGCTCGCACTGCTACGCCTTTATTCAGGTGGTGCTTTTCTACTAAATTTTGACTATACGAGTGAGGCATGCTGACTGAGACCGAGCATGGGAGACGATTACCCACAATTCCACAGCATGAGAAAGTGAATAACCATTGGTTCAGTTGTGATGATGTGCGCTCGGCGTCAAAACAAGAAGCGCACGCATGCGCTTCCTGTTTTGAAGCCGAGCGCATGTAAAAACAAGAAAAACAGGGAGCGCATGTGTGCCATATGATTTTTGATGATACTTGGCACTCGTAAACCAGGACTTGCTCAGTTTCCAAGTCAAAATTTATTAAAAATCTTTGCTTGTCTTGCGGAACACTCGTAAACCGCGTTACTTGTAATCCGAGGTTCCACTGTATATCTTTTGCATCTACAGTCACAGCATTATACAAAAAGCTAAATATTTGACTAGCAGTATACCAGAAATGTTTGTTTTTGTTTCATTTCTTAGTAGTATATTTTTTAATCATGTTACACAGCATTTTAAAATATTATAACTATAATACAGATAAAGATAACTGCTTTTAAAGTATTTATCAATGACAGACAGTCATCCTAAAGTTAATTAAATTCTCTGGATCTGCAGCTTTAACTTTCTTGAAAAATTCACTATTAAATATACACTCACCTAAAGGATTATTAGGAACACCTGTTCAATTTCTCATTA